GCGCTGTACACGGCTGTCGCAGTCCATGCGTAGCTATGCTGTTCGCGCAGGCGCAACAGGTGTGACGCTGCTTTTTCCAAAGGCGCATAATACTCTTCACCAAAGATGCAAGAGAAAGCCCAGGCCTCTCGCAGAGCAGCTCGAAACCAGGAGGTGAGAGTGTTGGGGTACCTCCCTTTCTTTTCGAGCTTCAGGTCGGGAGTGCCCCCGAAAGTATCGAAATCTTCCTCTGAGGTCAAGGGAAAGTCACCAGCCGACAGGCAGTAGTCGGGGATCGTCGCCACCTCCCAGCTGCAGGGCGGCGAAGCCGTAACTGTGCCGGTTCTGGATGTTGCATGGAAACTCGATGCGTCGCAACTGCGGTCGAGCTTGCGTTCCCGCGATGCGTAACGCGTGATACAAGTCCTTCCCGACCACCCCGGGACACAGCGTGACCCGGAGGGTGTCACATCCCCTGAGCAAGAACACTAAGCGTTTTTCCAGGCGGCCTATTGACGAAAGTTTCCCGCGCTCTTGTGCGAGAGAATCTTCCTTCGAAGTGAGACTCTTAGCTATTGCTTGTAAAGCTCTTGTTGTCTCATCGCTGGCCGGTGGTTCCCCGTCCGTGTACGACCCTGCCCTAAACGCCCGTGTAGCGTTCGCTAGGGCCCCGGCCGCGTCCGGCAGGCGAAGAGGCTCTTCCCGGGGAGCTGCCCTAAAGAGAGCCTCAGGCGTGGTCCTATTTTCCCCTAGAGCCCTGTCGTCTCGTGCGATCGAACTCTGGGCGAAAGCACCTGGGCCCCGAAGCGGGCCACAGGTCGGCTCCACTCGCCAACGGCCCCCTCATACTCGCCGAGTTGCGTGGTATCCACGGGTGTTGGGGTTCTCCCAGGCCCCATCCAGCTCCTTCCCCGTTCGCCGGTCTTTCTGCCCCAGACTGCGCCAACTCCCAAACATACTGGCGTATGGAGGGAGGCGAGTCGTTTGGCAGTTGAGACCAGTGTTTCCGGGCTGCCTCTTTCAGTCTTCGTGCCCCTTCCGGGTAGCTCCATCGTCCCGTTGCGGCTTGGCTGAGTGCTGTAGCATGCGAGCTCCCTCTCATACGAGAATCTAGATAAGCATACAAAGCGGGCTCCGCAGGGGGCTCTGGTGTCCCAGATGGGGGCTGGTCGCTTTCGGGGGTTGTCGCCGCCTTTTTCAGAGAGACCGCTCTTCGTCTCAGGTCTTCATCAGGTATGCGGGCAATTTCTTCCCACGTGAGACCTTGCAACACGCGGTCTTCAACGGCCGGCATCTCTAAGCCTGCTTCCAACCGGGGTACTGCAGTGTGGTCTAGTCGAGGTGGGGAAGATATGCCCCGGGCCTCAAGTTGGCTAGGGGTAGTGTTGCGCCTGGGGGTCACGTCCTGAGAATGGGGCCGTGCCACGGCTGGAGGCACGCTTAGGTTCTGATTCCGTGGGGCCAGTGGCTCGAGGCCGCCCAGGCCCGGATGCGTTGCGAGGAGCTGTTGGCTTTTCTTCCTTGCTTGCATGGAATCTGCACAGCCTTACCCCCCCTCTCAGGGTCTGAGCGGCCTTTTCGCAACCTTCGACGGAACATGCCCTGCGGGCCTTTGAGAGTTCATAACTCTCCTTGTGCCTGGCGCACAACTGACAACTAGCCTGTAAGCCATCCCACGTGAGCTCATTAGAGCTACTCTGGTGGGCGTCTTCACCCATAAGCCTGACCCATCCACAGGCAGCGTCGTTGCATCTCTCCTTGCACAGACGCTTAATCTGCGAACCTTCCTTCCAGCCTATGGCATCCGCTTGGCAAGGATTCTCGTCTTCCTCGGATTCGGTTTCTGAGAGGTCGTGCCTCGGGGTCTGTTCCTCCTCTCTACCCGGGCGCGAAACGCGCCTCGGGTGTTTTACACGTGAGCAGCAGCAGCACGAGGTAATAGCCCGCACAGTGGCCGCAATCCAGAGCTTAAACTCAAGATGCTCCTAAGGGCCATAAAACGGGACGCAAAAAGAGCTCTGCAGAAAGGACCCCGCCCAGCCAGTTCGTTTAGGTCAACGTCCACGTGTTGGGGGGCGACCCCGCTTGCTCCCACATGCAATTCTGCTGCCTCGGGCACTGTACAGGGATACGAGGCGCACAAGTGCACTACGCATTGCGTACGTTCAATTGCGCGTCTCCAATAACGGTGTGAGGAGCCGTGCACGCTGTCACACCGACAGAGAAATCCGTGCCGGTTGGTTCGTCCCCGTACCGCGCCATGTCTCAGCCGCGCTACTGCCACGCCATCTGTGACTAGTAGGTCGTAAGGCAACTGTTGTTCTCCTCGGCCTCGAACTTGGTCTTGCACATAGTTCACGGCCCACGGTTGCTGGCCCCGCGGCCCTACCCATTTGACCTCGTACGGGAGCTCCCCGCTACCCCGAAGGACAGCTTCCCAGGACCCATGTCCTAGCACGTACCGGGTCAATGCGTAGACCACTACCAAAATGGGTCTAATCACCCAGACAAAGGACCAATAAGTCAGTTGCAGGGTCCCCAATATGATGGTGGCAGTGGCCAACCAATAGGTCCAGCGAGCGGCCAGTCCGATTGAGGCACAAAGTGTGCCACACCACGTCAGGCCGCCCTCCCAGATTTCCCAAAGGAAGACCATTAATACTCGCACGTACCACCACCGAGCGCCCCCTTCTGAAGTAGGAGGATTGCTCCGGGGTGGGGGTGGCTCTGAATCCCACGTCCAGTTGAACCACCAATACTGCGCTCCCGGGCTCGAACTCGAGCCACGGGTAGGTTCATCTTCGACCCCCTCCTGGGGGCATGTGCCTGCTTTGTCGCAAGCGGTGTTTTCCTCGCCCGGTAGGAATGGCCATAGCCCTCCTAAGGGGCGGATCAGGGCTCCTAGGAAAACTAGAGCGACCCTCATGGTCACCCTTGAGCCTAGAGCCTACGGCAGTGAAACACTACGCACGCAGAGCTAGGCTACCACGTAATGTAATGTATGTATGTATGTATGTATGTATGTATGTGTATATATATATGTATATAATTACAACTGGCCTGGTATTTATACATACATACATACATACATACATACATACATACATATATACATACATATATATATATACACATATTCTAGATTAAGTATAGCATAGGGCGAAAAACAATATGTGAGAGAGAGTGTATGTATGTACACGTATGTGTGTATATATATATACATATATATACGTATATCGATATACCCCATATCTATATATATATATACATATAAACACGTGTATATGTGCGTGTACGGGTGTATGCATGCATGCACACATGCATGCATGTATGCATGCGTACGTACCTACGTACGTGTGTATGTGTGTGTGGGTATATATATATATATTTTTTGTGCGTGTACATACATATGATCATTTATGTACATAGATGCGTACATATGTGTATATATATATATACATATGTATGTATATGTATATGTATATGTATATGCATAGGTCTACGTCTACGTCTACGTCTACGTCTACGTCTACGTGTAGGTGTAGGTGTAGGTGTAGGTGTAGTAGGTGTAGGTGTAGGTGTAGTAGGTGTGTATGTATGTATGTATGTATGTATGTATGTATGTATGTATGTATGTATGTAAGCAATCTAAGCATCTAAGCATGTATGTATGTATGTATGTATGTATGCATGTACGTATGCATGTATGTATTCTCCCAAAAAGGACTAGAAACACAAACACACACTCGCACACGCAATGCAACTGCAGCTGTCACAATGATCCACAAGGCATGTTTGAGTCCAAGCATCACCCGTGATGCCGCTGCAGCCTTTGTTTTCCAACCACTTCACGGCTTCGATGAACTCCTGTAGCAGGTGCATGCTACTGCTTGAAAGGTTCCGTGTACAAGTAAGGCCTGGTTTGCCGGTCGGGATGCAGCGGTTTTCTCAACAAATCCGTCCCCGGGGGTTTGCAGCGGGCAAGTGGAGGTTCTCGGTGACACAGCTGAACTGTCAAACCTGCTTCTCAGCCTTCTCCACATCCGGAGACAGTTTGCCCGCTTGCGCCATCTCAAACGTGAAGCCCGGAACCACACGGAAGAGAACCTCATCGCAGAGATCTACTTCATGGGCGGAATTGCGGAATTCTGCTCAAGAAACAAGCGTGGCCGTGAGCTTTCTGCAGAACTCAGAATCCTTGCATCCCTGATCCCCTGAGCTTTGTAAAGCCGGCCCGCATCGTAGTCGTAGCTGCCCGGATGATCGATGTCGCCCTCGGCCGGCGGATAGTTGTAGTCCAGGCGCCTCAATGATCACCCAGTGAATTAGGGTGGGCAAAGTAGGCGCACACGAAACCAAACCGAAGACAGGCACAAGCCGCGAATGCTACCAAAAAGACAGAATTGGGGATTTCGGAATTTGCCTCGTTTGGGACACGACCCCATGAAACGAGCGACTGTCTCGTTCCGGCCTGGAGTGTCACCTGAACTCAGACCTCTAGCGTGAACTATCGACCACTTCAGGCCGAAGCTGAAAGTGTGGGTGCAACAACGACCGGCTCTCGGATCGCTTATCTTGGCGTCGGCATGCCGACTGAAGCGCCCGCTGCAGCCACAGGCACAGAACTCCTAACATCGGCGCCTGCTGCTTTCGCACCTTCTTCATGACCTTGTCCAACTTCTTCCTCAACACCGCTGTAACGTTGCCACAGCTCAAACCACGTGCCAAAAACACCACCACTGCTCAAGTTCACCTCGGTTATATAGATATCACAATCACAGCGAGAGGCTTTTTGTGCAGCGCCCGGGATTTCTTCTCCTCCTTCACCTTGTGCTTGCCTGAGCGGGCCAAGAATGTCTGGGGGATGCTTTCCTCAGAAAATCAGCATAGAAAATCATGGAAATAGACTCCATGATCCCTCGAAAGGCCGATGTGATCGACCACACATTCATGCTCCTTGCGTAGCTTCAGTACGTTCCAAGAGTCTAACAACAATGCACGAAAATGCAGATCCCCGGGCCAAGGACGCATTGAAGTATATTCGCCAGTAAACATAGCTGACATAGCTACTGCATGTAGTGCCTGTGCGACGCATGTGCGATGTCCCACTCCTGAAAACTGGCCGTTCACGAGTGTTGAGGGACCATCGCTCTTCAGTTCACCCTGAATGATGCAAAAACTTATCAACAAGCATTGTGGCATCTCGGAGAGCGGCTCACCACCAGTGAGAGCTCGTCCTTTGTGAGGTTGAGACCAAGCTCATACTCTTCATGTGTTCCGTCCCACGCCTCTTGCCAGTCCTCGGGCAAAACAAGCCTTACGATGTGGGGAACAGCCGTAGAAGCAGCAGTAGCAGTACCAGTAGCAGTAGCAGTGGCAGTGGGTCAGTGCGGCTACTGGGAGAAGCAGCATCGGCAGTCTATGTGCCAGTGCTAGTGCTAGTACAAGTACTTGTACCCCTAATAATTGAAATTAGGTCAAATGTAGGCAGGTAGGTAAGCAGGCAGATCGGCAGGTAGGGAGGTGTAGGGAGCTGGACAGGCAGGTAGGTACCTACGGTTGATGATCTAAATCCTGCATTTCCCAGAATAAGGAATATACCATAATTCCCATAGTTTAGGGTCCTGAAGGTGATGCAGGTGCGTAGGTCAATCGCTCGGTCATGCGTCGGTGCTGGGTCGGCGGGCAGTGTGCTGGGTGGCAGTACTGATGGATAGCAGTAGTAGCGGTGCCAGTAAAGCAGTAGTAGTCAAAGGAGCAGCAGCAGCAGCAATACCAGTGCAGTGAGGCAGAAGTAGCACAAGCAGAAGCTGAGGTTGTGGTAGCAGCAGTGAATGCGGCAAAGAGTCGTTGTGCCCAAACCTGGGGTTGTCTTGGTGGGCAGAGATGTAGAAGTCAGCAGCTGTCACTGCGTCCTTGGCTCAGGAGCTCTGCTGAAAACTGAGATTCCAGAACTGGTGAGGGCAGACACAGGCCAAAACCCTGCACTGATCGTAATTACAATGTACAGCGCTGTGAAACGGTAGCAGGAACAGATGCATAAGCACCTGAGCAGGGTCATGGTCGTCATCATCACCACGGCCATGGTCTCGTCTAGATCATGATCATGACCACTGTTCATCCTCGCTGCAACCCCCACTGCTACAGCTGCTGCTACTGCTACTGCCACTGCCACTGCCACAGCCACTGCCACTGCTCCTGCTGATGGGTCTGCTGCTGCTGCTACTACTACTGCTGCAGGTACTGCTACTTCTACTGCTACTCCTAGCTGCTGCTGCTGCTGCTACGATTCGGACTACTAGTCGAACCGATACTTCCTTTAGTCCATGCTTAGATGCTTGGATTGGCAGCATCCGAAGACGTTCTTTAAGACGTGGTCTCGTGATGTGTCATGGCAGACTGCAAGAATTGCTTCTGTCCCTGGTTATGGAGGCTCTGGACACAGAGCCGCCGCGGTCAATACAGCCATTGGCGCAGCACACGTGCAATGCCCGAGCGAGCTTTCGGAACTCGCTCGGCGTGTGGCCAAGTGTTGCACAGGCTTAAGCTGAAATTTTATTATCAATAATATGGCTGGTAAGCCTTTCTGCGACCTTGGCCCATAACTCTAATCCACGACCAATCAAGAAAGCCCCCTGATTCGATTGTCAAGCCTTGCAACTGAGCAGCCCAAACCGGCAAGCCAGTGTGATAGCGCAGGGCATCTGCGTAGGGCGGCAGTTCTGTGCACTCCTGGGCGTAGGACAGAGCAAGCCATGCCGAGAGTCCGCTGATGAATTGGCATCGGGATGCGGCTCTCGTGCACCACAAGGGGCACAAGGAAAGTCAACACGCAAGGAAGCCGTTCCACAACGGAGTATCTGATTCAAGTGCTGCTTGCTGATTTTCCAGCTGCTCGCGCAAAACGAGGAGCGAAACGTTGGATGACTTTCTGGGCTCCGGCCATGCAACGACAGTGGAACCCGAAGTAAGCCCAAAGCAATCCACGCACAACCGACAAACTGAATCTGAAGATCCCCTCTCAAGGCAACATCACCCAGTCCTACGAAGGCACAGACGGAAAATCAGTAAAACACTGATTGGAGGTGCCCCCAGTATGATTGGGCTAGCCGGCAGCCAAGGCACTAGAAGGATGGCAGCAATTCTCGGGTGTTCCTTTCTTGCCTCCTTCAGACGCTGTCTCACTTCTTCTCGCACACCGATTTCTGTGACAACTCGGATCGGGCAGGTCCAGAGGGGCTTTCTTGGAGTGAGGAGCTGAGTGCTGGGCATAGGATGTTTGAGTCTGCATGACCGCATGCGGCAACCCTTGTTCGAAAAGCCAATGCTTCGACTCATTACATGGACTGCCCAGACACCGTTCGCATGAAAACACGGTTCCATGCAGTCTGCCACAACAATTTTACAAAGCAAAACGGCAGAGAGGGCTTTTGGAGATCACCGGGAGAACGGCCATCGCCCTACAGCAGCACGGAAGGTTCAGGGCTGCTCAGCGGGTTTCCTGCACCAACTTCACGATGCCAGGCTGGACGACTTCCAGCGGAACCTGGAGGGAATTTCCGCAACTTTCCCCACACGGATCACCCAAGACTCAACACTCTGGACTACGATAGCACCTGGGGGAGAAAGAAAGACAAAGTGTGAACATACGGAATAACAGACCTGTACCTACACACACAGGCACGCGGGCAGGTACAGCCACACACAGACAGACAGACAGACACACACACACACACAAACGCACAAGCACATCCCACCATCAATACGTCGATACGTGCATGCACACGTGCTGTGACACGTACGTACATCCATTTCATACATCCTCTGAGCGTGCGCGGGTGTGTATGTGTGGGGTACCTGCTGAGAGGCATGATCGAGGTTCCACTATGCGGTGCCGTGCTCGTGCAGTCTGTCTCACAAGATTGTCCTTGGGCTGTAAATGCAGCCTGCAGCACTCAACCCATTGCTTCACAGTGGCTTTTCCTCCCAGCGCCACGGCTTCAAAGCCAGGCACCATCTGGCAACCCTTGATGAGGAAGCGGTCCTGGCGATGAGTTGAATCCTTGTACGAGCCCTTCCTTCCTTCCTTCCTTCCTTGCTTCCTGCTTTCCTTCCTTCATGTGCACATGCATTCATACATGACGGACAGACGGACAGACAGAGACAAGCTTAATTCACTCCTCCTAGTAAGAAAAGGACCCTCCTAATGCGAACAGCAAGTTCCGGTGCAGACATGGAGAGGCTAGTGTTTTCATCTTCCCATTGCTCGGCATATCCTTGCAAAGCCAATCAAGGGCTGTCAAGGCATGTCCCTACGTGATGGGCCAGATACTTCAAACTGCGTGCATCTCGCAACAGGAGGAGCGGGGACTAGTTTCAGGCATACAAGCCCGACAGAAAGCTCACTCAGCCAGGCAGACAGACACTGACTGACTGACTGACTGACTGGCTGACTGCCTGAATGCCTGCTGGTTTGCCTGCCTGACTGCCTGCCTGGCTGGCTGGCTGAATGAATGCATGCATGGATGGATGGATGGATGGATGAATGGATGGACGGACCGCGCGTAACCTGTGTTGAGTCTGCACGGCCGCTCCTCGTCGACATCAAATCCACAGCTGCTGAGCAAAACCTGCTTCTGCGGTTTCAGGTGCTTGTCGTTGGCCTCAGGTTGCTGTTGCAGGCCGCTCGAGTAGCAACGTTGGGGTGGGCTGCCTGATATTGTGGATGACATTGAATCGCGGACATGGCAAGTCAGATTTGCTCGACTATGCCAAGGGGCTGTCAGGAGGAGAATTTGATCCGAAGGCTCAAGAGAGGCAGCGATGATGGGGCACTGCCTGGGATAAGCTGTGCGTTGGGAGCAGGAGTCGCAACAAGTCTCCGGGTTTCTACGATCCAACCTTGGAACGGAGAGAAGCTCAGCAGCTTTGATACTGTAAGAAGACGTTCTTGCATGCAGCTCGGGGTAGAGAGTCACCCTCGTTGCTGATGGCACACTGCCCCACTCTGTTCGGTCAGGCGGCACCATGGAGGACATGAAGATCGGCTTGGCGGCAATCTTCCTCCAGGGCCACTTCAGTCCCTCACTGTGGCCTTTAAACTTGCAAGACTGGGCTGACAACAACCACTGCCATAAGCCAAGTTTCTTCAGAAAATGCAAAAATTTAAGACCGCACTCCTTGCAATCACGTGGAAGGCCATCATGAAGCCGCAGTCGCCAGTAATGGCCGAACATCCTCGAGCCTTTCCACTGATGCTGGTGGGAGCGACAGGGCTGGAGAAGGGATACCAATCCTCCAGGCAACTAGAAAAAACCTTAAACCTTGTGCCACCCTCGGGGGCTCTTTAAGTGCAGATCTAGACTGAAACAATAACAATCACATGACGGTCCGATCATGAATAAAGTAAGTAATGCTTTGCTGTGTGAATGCAAGGACAAATGAAATGACTCCCAGGCAGAGCCGCGACAAGACCTGATATGCGAAATGCTTTGCACCGGTGGAGCAGCAACGCTTCATGTTTCTCATTGAAGATCTTTCTGTGACCAAAAAATGGATCACAGTGGCTCCAAGTCTGCTCTAGGCGAGCGCCTGTTTTCTCCGATTTTCCGAATGCCCCTCCGACTTGAAAAAAAAGGGTGTCGGATGGTGTCTGGATGACATGCTCTTTCACACACCCTCTGCTATCTGACACCCATCTTGCTTTGTCGTTTTTGAATTTTCCATTCTAAAGACTTATATTCCCTGACCACAATGATCTTTCCGTGTGTAAAAACATACCGCAGGTAATCGATGGAAGCGTTGCTCTTCGTCATGCCGTCGACTACCATCTGCTTGGTATCCGGCCACCTCGCACGACGTTGTTGTCCTCCGAGTCGCTCTGGAGCAACAGCATATCAATGGCCACTCGCTTGTCCTTCACTACGATCCCGTCTCGTTGGGAGTGGTCGCAGATGGGCTTGTTGTCGGTGGCCACTAGCAACGGTGTCTGGTTCCTGAACTTGAGATCATTCTGTAGCGTGTAGTCCGGGCGACGCGCTTTTGCCCACACTGACCTCATCCAGTTGGTTTCAACCACCGCTCTTGCGATGGCCATCTTTGTAGCTCTTCCATCTCCCAGGTGACATGTTGGCCAACACTTCATTCTCATCTGCCATCGTCATGTATCCCTGCATCTTCGGAACGTCCGTGTCGTTCCAGCTTGCATCGGATGCTGCCACGAACATCACTTGATCAAACGGTATGGCCTTGAAGGTGATCTTCACCTTGGCCACGTCCTTGATTCTCGCCACCACCCTGTTGGCGTAGATCAGCTTTTGGACAGTCGGCAAGCCTATCTTTTGCTGCAGAATCACTGTCTGTGCAACGATGTCCGGCCGGGTGCTTCCGAGCAGCGACGACGCTGCGCCCATAACTCCACGAAGCTGTCTCAACTCCGATGCTGTCAGTGGCTGATCCTTGTGACGCCCGCGCTCTCTGATGCTGATGATCTCCACATTGTTTGCATATTCCTTCTGACTGCAAACCATGGCCTTGTTCGCATCCTGCTCCAAGTAGCGTCCCAAGAAGTCAACTTTGCCTAACCGCCAGTGCTTGAACGGGTTCTCTCGGTTGAAACGATTAAGGCAAATGTAAAACTGGCGGGCTTTTCACC